GGTGAGAGCAAACAGAGGCTCGCTCTGTGTTTGTGTTTGGTCTGGAACCCAACACCCTTTGTCAGAAATCAGAGGCAGAACAAGCTGTCCACCCCTTAGATACCTGAGCCTCACCTCCCTGTGCTGGACTTGAGATCTGATTGTTTCCTGGTGTGCTCCTGTCCCTCCCACTGGGGTGTCCAGGGAAAAGACCGGCCTTCTGCTTCCCACTCTGCCCCTGAAACCAGCCCAGGGTCCACATGTAGGAAACTCAATTGCTTTTGTTTGGGAAGGAAGGAGGGAAGGGTGTGGGAGTTTCTCCCAAAGAGGGAAGGGAGCCTGGTGGTCAGATCTCCTAGGATCCTGCACCCAGGGCACCTCTCTGAAGAGATGATGGTCGTTCATTCCCTCAGCACCCCTGCCTCCTGCTCATCCCCTCACTCTCTGCTGGTCATTGGACTTGGCTCTGCCATGGGAGGTGTCACTGCCTCATAAGGGTCACTGCCTCACTCATTATCAAGCAACTGGGCAAAGCTGCCCCCCCTCCAGGTCTTTGGGACCTGAGTCCTGGACTGACCTCCCAGCTTGTTCCTGGTATCTCCAAGTATCATTTCTGCTCAGAGCCCATCCCCATGCTGGGTTGTCAGGTCATTGAGGAGCCAGGAGGGGTCCACGGCTGTCTCTGACTCTGTCCTGTGTCTTCCACAACCAAAGGCTGCTCTGTAATTGACATTGGAGACAGCCTGTGCTCTCAGACACACAGACCATGGGGCTTACTTTCTCTGAGGCTCAGATCCTCATGTATTTATCTTGAGATACACAGATCTGCCTTATTCTTTGAAGGACTCTGGTTGGCTGAGAGGTGAGAAATGCCAACTCTGATTCAAGATGCCTGTGGAGAAATCACAGGTACCACCCAGGGCAATGTTCTTTCTGTTGTCTGCACAGCGGAGTTACCCAAACCCAACATCACAAGCAACAACTCTGACCCTGTGGAGAATGTGGATTCTGTGCTATTAACCTGTGAACCTCAGACTCAGAACACGAGCTACCTGTGGTCAGTAAGCAGTAAGAGCCGCCCGGCCAGCACCAGGCTGGAGCTGTCCCTGGACAACAGGACTCTCACTATACATGGTGTCACAAGGGATGACACAGGACCCTATGTGTGTGCAACTCGGAACCCAGTGAGTGACGGTCGTAGTGACCCATTCACCCTGAATGTTCTCTGTGAGTAGCTTCCGTTCCTCCCAAACCCGGGCTGCCAACCCAAATCCACACAGCCAGGGGCCAGGCCACATCCATCCTCTGGGGTCCGAGTCCATGACTCTCAGCTGGACCCCCAAGCTGGCCAAAACGGCTTGTCCCAGGGAAACCTGGGCAGGCCTGGCCAAGACTAGGAGGGGACAGGCTGCTCCTCCCTGAGAGGGTCACCAGCCTGTGAGGGGAAACAGGTGAATGTCTCAGACCCAGGCTGAACACAGGGGGTTTCTGGTTGGGACTTTATAAAATGAGGTTGGGACCCAGCTCAGAGGGATACTGTGGCCCTTGTACAGACCAGGAGCTTCCCTTTCCCTTGGATTGCATCAACTGTGGCTTTATTCTGTTTGCTCCAGATGGCCCGGATGCCCCCACCATTTCCCCCTCAGACTCCTATTACCATCCAGGGGCCAACCTCAGTCTCTCCTGCCACGCAGCCTCTAACCCACCTGCACAGTATTCTTGGCTTATCAATGGGAGGCCCCAGCCATACACACAGGAGCTCTTTATCCCCAACATCACTGCGAATGATAGTGGATCCTATACCTGCCTTGCCTCTAACTCTGGCACTCGCCTCAATAAGACCACAGTCAAGACTGTCACAGTCTCTGGTAAGTGGGTGTCTGGAGCATCTGCATGGATCGCTGTGGTGAAGGTCTGTATGGCTTCCAGAAAAGAGCCTAGAAGTTATTTCCCATTTGCTTATGTCACAAGCAAATACCGAGTCTGTCCCTGAACTCTCCCTTTACATGTCTGCAGATGCTTCCTCCCCTTGCTCTCTGATTTCTCAAGGCAGACCTTGGGTCCAGCCTGGAATGTGGGGAGGGGCATCTCAGTTCCAGAAAGCCCCATGCACAAAATGGGGCTTCGCAAATGGAGAAGAAGAATGATCATCTAGTCAAGTTGTTTTTTGTTGTTGAACTGCAGAAGTCCTTTCTGTAATCCGGATATTAACCTCTTACAGATATGGTTTGCAAATGTTTCCTTCTTATCCATGGGTTGCCCTCACATTTTCTTTGTTAGTGACCTTTATTTGACACATGATGTGACATAGTTTCCGGTGTACAACATAATGATTGGACAACTCTGTATGTTATACTCATTGAATACAATGTAGCTCCCATCTGTCCCCATGCAGCCTGATCAAAATACCATTGACTATATGTCCTATGCTGTACGTTTCATCCCTATATCCTATTCATTCCATAACTAGTACTACCACTCTCCAGATTCTGTCTTTTGATGCACTGAAGTTTTCCATTTTGATGTATCCAATTCATCTGCTTTTTCCTTTTATTGTCTTTGCTTTGGGTATCATATCTAAAAAATCATTGGGAAATTCAGCTTCAGTAAGATTTTGCATTACGTTTGTTTTTAGACTTTTATTATTTGACTCTTAAATTTTTATTTTTTTTAAGATTTTATTTATTTATTTGACAGAGAGACAGCGAGAGAGGGAACAGAACAGGGGGAATGGGACAGGGAGAAACAGGCTTCCCACCAAGCAGGATCCCAGGACTCTGGGATCATGGCCTGAGCCAAAGGCAGACACTTAATGACTGAGCCACCCAGGTGCCCTGACTCTTATGTTTGGATGTTTGACATGTTTACGTTATTATTTGTATATAATGTAAGACCTGGTCCAACTTCATTCATTTGCATGGATATCCAGCATTCCCAACAGTTGAATAGATATTTTTCTCCATTGAATGATCATGATAACCTTCTTGAAAATCATTCAACCACATATGCCAGGGTTTGTTTGGGGTGCCTATTCCATTTCATTGGTCTCTATGTCTATCTTTATACAAGATCCCCATTGTTATCAGTTACTGTACCTTTTCAGTCAAGAAGTAGGAGTCCTCCAACTTTGTTCTTTTTTAAAATAAGTTTGGGTGTTTGAGGCCCCTGAATTTCTGCATGAATTTTTGGAAATTCCTATTTCTGCAAAGTATTTCCTTAAGTATTTGGTAGGGAGGTAACCTGGCTGGCTCAGCTGGTGGAGCATGCGACTCCTGATCTTGGGATTGTAGGTTTGAGCGCCACATTGGGTGTAGCGATCACTTAAAAATGAAATCTTAAAAAAAGGAGCTTGGTAGGAATTACATTGAATCTGTGGATCTCTTTGGGTAACATTGTCATCTTAACAAGATTAACTTTCATCATCCATGAACATGAGATGTCTTTCCATTTATTTGTGTCCTCTGTAGTTTCTTTCAGTAATGTTTTATAGATTTCCATATACAGTCTATTGACTTAGTTAATTTCTAAGTATTTGATTCTTTTTTTCCTAAGTATTTTATTCATTTTAGTGTTATTGAAATAGAATGGTTTTCCTAATTTCTTTTTTGGGTTTTTCATTGTTAGTTAGCAACACAGTAATTTTTGTATGTTGATTTTTTATCCCACAAATTTGTTGTAATTGTTTATTAGTTCAACAGTGTTTTTGTGGAATCTTTAGGGGTGTGTATATAAAACTTAATGTCATCTGCAAACAGACATAGTTGTACTTAGTTTTTTCCCAATTTGATTGCACTGTGGTTTTTTCCCCTCCTAATTATTTTTTTAAAGATTTTATTTATTTATTTGACAGAGATGACAAGTAGGGAGAGAGGTAGGCAGGGAGAGAGGAGGAAGCAGGCTCCCCACTGAGCAGAGAGCCTGATGTGGGGCTTGATCCCAGGACCCTGGGATCATGATCTGAGCCAAAGGCAGAGGCTTTAACCCACTGGGCCACCCAGGTGCCCCTCCTAATTATTTTTGCCTGGACTTCTGTACTGTGTCAAATACAGGCAGTGAAAGTGTCATGTTTATCTCCTACCTGATCTTAGAGTAAAGGCTTCCATGTTTCATCATGGAGGATGATACTGGCTGTGTGTGTTTCATATAAGGCCTTTTTTATGAGGCAGTAGTTTCCTTATATTGTAAGGGTGCCAATATGCTGTATACAGTAACCACTCTGCAGAAGTGTTTCACCATAAGAGTCAAGCCACAGATCTGTAAGTAAAAGTCTTCTTCAGAGTGAGAAATCTTATAGATTGAAAACTCTTTGATTCCTAAGTTAATGAAGATGGGGCAGGAGGTTCTCATTTCCTAGTAAATTATAACAGTGTAAATGCCTTCCGTACCTTACATGAAGCTGCTTTGGACACAGAGATAGAAGGACTGTGAATCTTCCTCCTCCAATATATATGGAAAGGAGTATAAGGAGTGAGGCCCTATCTTCTGTACTGTGTCACAAAAGTTTAAGAAAATCACACAGAAGTCCATGGGAAAAAATTCCTCATGATGATGAGATTGCTGGCCACATAGGCTAAGAGGTTCCTTGTTGATGATACTACAGTGATGTCTAGGCAGAGCAGACACATGACGGAGGGTTAGAGGGGAAGGTATAGCCCTCTCCTTACAGATTGTCCGTGAACAAAAACACTCATCCTTTTGCACAGCAGGGCCATACTCTGGGGCACCTTCACAGAGCTCATGGGGCCCTCAGAGCGGCAGAGATCTCAAAGGAAGGAGCATAACCTGGGCCCCAGGCCCATTCTCATTCAGTCACTTCCTGTGTTTCCCTACAGAGGCAGTGTCCAAGCCCTCTCTCCATGCCAGCAAAACCACAGTCACAGAAGACAAGGACTCTGTGGTCCTGACCTGCTCCACAACTAACACTGGGGTCTCCATTCACTGGTTCTTCAATGGCCAGAGTCTAAAGCTCACGGAGAGGATAACACTATCCCAGGACAACAGCACCCTCACCATACGCCCTATCAGGAAGGAGGATGCCGGGAATTACCAGTGTGAGGTCTCCAACCTGGTCATTTCCAGGAAAAGTGACCCTGTGTGGCTGGATGTGAGCTGTGAGTGACCCTCGAACTCTCCCCTTCCTCCATGTATATTTCATGGCAGGCAGTGTGAAATGAGTGGAGGCCTTCAGGAAGTGGGGAGCCTCCTTCAGAGTCTCTAGGGCAATATGGATAAAATTCCCCCAAATTAGATGAATCTTGTTAGCATCTTGGTTCTGATTTGTACCAGTTTTTGGAACTCGGGCAAGATATTCAACCTCCTGAACCTCATTTTCCTCTTCTCTAAAACTGGAAAGAACAGCTGGATCCCAGGGAAGTTGTGAGAGTAGTTAGTATGAGTTCATGAGATGAAATCCTGAGACAGCGCCACATTCAGATTCAGGGCTCAGTCAAATTTAGCAACTATTGTCCTTTGGTTATTAACATTTTTGTTGCCAGCTGTACTGTCTCGGGGAATTGGGATTGAGTGTTGTCTGATCACATTCCAGCTCTCTGACCTTCACTGATTTACTGAGCCCTGTACACACTGAGTTGCTCATTGTGCACAGTGGGTGTGACACCTGGCCCCTCATGGGAAGGGAAGCAGCAGATGAGCCAACATACATATTTCCCACGTGCCTGGCACAGAGAAGACCTCAAAAGCAGTCAGCTGGTGTTATTATCTTTAATCAGTGTTGAGTGGACACTGATTAGTGTGGACCTTAGAGGTAAGGGCCTCCCTCTAAGACCATCAGTGAGGATGGAACAGAAGACACGGGGAAGAGGCATAATGTGAAAGGAAAATAAACAGGATGTCAGCCTTGGCCCTTGGGGGTGGGAGGAAAATGTGAAAATTGAAGCAAGTCCAGAGTTTCACTGTGAGGAACAGAAATGATGCAGCAGC